GCTTCTATGGCTTTATTGCCTTTATCGCAAATTTCGCTTAAGTGTTTCCCAGTAACTACAACCACGATGTCGTCCGCAAAACCAATTACCTCGGTCGCCTTGGGTACCTTAAGGCAAAGAACTCCGTCGTGCATAATGTTCCAAGACAAAAGTCCAAGCACAGAGTCTTGGAGAACGCCGCTTGAGATTTTTCGACTTTTCACACCTGCTGAGGTTTCGTACTCCGAACGGTCTTCTAAGTAGCTTTTATGAGCATTCTAAGGTACAAAGCTACCCTGATATGAACCAGTGCGTCTAGGATTTTTGCCCGGTTCGCCGAATTGAACCCATTTCTTAGAACCTCCGGACCAACGCGAGCCACTGATTGCGTCGCGTTCCAGCTGGGTAACAATGTTTACTGAGTGAATGATAGATCTCCCTTTTCGGAAGCAAAATTTGGACCTTGTTTTCGAGACGGTTGCATATAACAGGTTCAAGGACTTTTCCCTCCGCATCGAGAAGGCATATGGGCATTTAACTGGAAGGTTCCGTTAGTGGTTTACCGGGTTTAGGCAGCAATACCAACATTTGCTTCTTCCAAAGTGATGGGAATGTTCCCTCCGCTGGGCATGCGTTAAATAGATCCGTGAATGCAGATAGAAAACTGGTGGGAGCCAGTTTCAAAACTAAATTAGGAACACCGTCGGGAACGGAGGACTTATTTTCCTTGTGTCTTTTTGTAGCTCGGAAAAATTTATACTTCGTGACCTCAGCGTCGTCTTATTACTACTTTCAGTACATGTCTATCTGCTTTGTTCGTTCCTCCTGTCGCTGCAGCCAGTAAGAAGCCCATATCTATGAAAGCTACAGTTTTGGAAGCCTGCAGCCGTTTAGTGCATTCAGTTGCATTCAAATCTTCTACAGAACAACTTCCAGAGCACGTGGAAATCATTACAGACGTATGGCGTTTCCTTGCCTACTCATTGCCCTCTGCGCACAAATCTAAAGAAGAAGGCAACAAAAGGGTAACATTTTTTGTCGAAAAGAAAACGCCATTGAATTTCACGCTGAACTGATGACTGCAATGAAACTTAATTCAAAACATAATTTCCAGGGAAATCTCATGCAAGCTGTTTAGTAGGTAGTACATATTTAGTTGTTATTCTAGCACAAGTCTTCATTCACCACTCGTGGTGAAAAACTATTTTGAGAGAAAGCACTACTTACTGAATACCAGCACAAGTTTTCCCATTGAAGGAATCACCTAACGCCGTGTTTTCACGGGGCATTTAATGTAAATTTTTTTTTGTGTTTATAAAAATAGTAATAGTACTTTTCATGTGACAATTTCAAATGGCACAAATTTTTGTTATATCCACGCCCCGTTTACAAAAATTTCTTTGCTTCTTCTCTCCATTCAGAACCCACTCCACATCGTGCCTCCGGCAAGAGACGCATGTCCTTCTATCGACGCGAAGAGTTAGAGGCGCGTCGCAAAGGTAAGCGTGTGCCGCAGTACAATTCCGTTTCGAAAATCGATCGCGCATCACGTATCGTCTTTCCGATGCTCTTTCTACTCATCAATGTATTCTATTGGTATGGTTATTTGTCGCGCAGCTCACGAATATTAGCGAATACGCCAACGACCACCTGATGTTACCTTTTAGCAATTTAGAGCAAGTCCGAGAGGAAATCAAACGAATGGCAATGGAGCAGCGTGTAAGGGGCGTAGCATCACTTACTTATTTGGAATAAAACCTTATTAATTTGCTAAATGCTGGTAGTACGAATTTGGTGTGATGATAAATTATTTAAATCAAAAACATATTTTTAGAAAGAGAAAATTTAGGAACAAATGCTGCCGTTTACATTGATAAAAAAACTGGAAAACAACAAATTTCAAGAGGCTTACGTCTGCTCTCTGTCATTGCTTAAACACGTTTTTTGCTTAACAACTGCAAATTTAATTTCTTCTTAACTAAATTGCTAAAATAAGGAAAATATCTAAATAGAAACTTGAAAAAGGACTTGGAAAATACAAAAAGCACAGACAAAGAAAAAAAAAAATTAAAAAAAAAATAAAGATACAAGAGTAATTACAATTAGTTGATGTAAGCATTTAAGTAATTAAATAAAATTTTACTTAAGAAGTGTCATACGACAAAAGAAAACACAATTTATTAAATTCCAATGTGATGAAACAGTTTAGCTTTAACTCGTTAACGGTTTGAACAGTTTGAATGTCACAAAGCTCTAGCATTTTCAAAAGTACAGTGTGCAGTTTTGAGGCCACAGAGCTTATTAATGGGCCTCCGCACACTGGACTACTCAGTCCGCCTAAAACCGGTTTTGTGTGGATAAGAGGGGGAAGAGAGTTCGAGATTACCTCGTTCATTTCAGTCGCGGATTGACGGTGGACTGACACGCACACATAGACAACATGTTTTGTATTTCGTTTTGTTTACAAATGCCACCATGCACTAACACAATCAAGCGTAATTAATTTATAGAAAACTGAAACCTGTTTTCGGTCGACTGCCCAGTCCAGTGTGCGTTCGAGTGGTGGACTGCTCAGTCCGGAGGCCCAATGTTTCAAAATTATGCATAGGATTGTGTGAATGAGGAAAGTGCATTAGTATTAGTGAAGATTGTGTACAGTGCCGTCTGAGTAACACGGGCCGAAGGTAAAATAATAAATATGTGCATAAATTTAATAAATGATAATGAAATGTATTAAAATTATCAACTCTTTTGTTAAGAAGCTAGAAAATAATCGTAAACTGCCTAATGGCTAAAATATTACCGTTAGCTTTATTTTGGATAAGTAATAATGTAAGAAAAAATTTAAATGTACTAAACATTCGTACAATAAAAGAAGTTTAACATTATTGAAGTAGACAAATCTAATCTGTAATTATTTTGGTAGCATCCCACGGATGCCATCCGCACGGATCTAATTCGATTCGCACTGTCATAACAAGCGAGTGAGAAGGATTAGATTCATGAGAATGTCATCCCTCGGAAACAGACCTTTTCCGGTCAGACAGATACCATTCGCACGAATCTAATCCTTTGCCCTCGCTTATTCTGACAGTGCGAATCTGATTAGATCCGTGCGGATGGCATCGGTCGGATATCGTAATAGGCAGGATTACCACGCAACTCCTTCCAAATAGGAGCCAAGCAACCTACGCTTATATTTATTCTTAAAAGTACATAACTCCATGTATGACACAATATATGGCAACAAATCAAAGCGCGGAATTAAACGCCTCCACGCAGTTGGTGCACTTAGGGTATTCGATGATATGAAGCCTTACTTCATTCTAACCTATCACGCAATGACCTGTTAGAACTCCAACCAATAGCAAGAAATCCCAAAAGTGCAATGGACCGCTTCCGGTCTACAGGTGGTCAGAAGGCTTTAGGCTCCTTATATTCCAAAGTCTTCGCCTAGCACCCGCTGAGCTGGCTACGTGTTCAGAAGTGGCAAACACAAGGTCAGGGGAGCACTTCCTCAAGGGTTCCCTGTCTTACCAGTTCATCGGCCATGCAGTTTCCAATGATTATTCTGTAACCCGAAACTCAAATAAGCTTAATACAGTAGTAAACCGATGCAGTCGAAAAGGGAGTCAAACAATCCTCCACTGTTTTCGAACGAACGATCAAGAAGCCAAGAGCCGTGATGGTGTCCTTAAAAGCTGTCACACTGGAAAACAAACAATCCGAAGCTGCCTTTATTGCGGCTATCTCTGCTTGGAAAACGCAGGATTATTCCGGAAGCCTAAATTTTAGATTAATGGAGAGTTCTTCGCGGAAGACAACTCCCCCAACCTTCTCATTCAGCTTCGATTCATCCGTAAGGTAATCCAGACCTGGCTCGTTGAAATATAGGATTGATCGAAAAACTGGAGTCCGCATAGTTTAAATCAAATAGAAGGTCAAAATTACTGGTTATCAGTCAACAGAACAACAGCTGCAGCGCTGATGAAACTTTTATTATTAGACAGTGCCCGTAAAAAAGCTAAGATCTGAATATCGTCGAACAATTCAGGCTGATTTAGCGATTCGGTCCTAAAGACATCCACGCTTTTGATTCTCGATTATGATACCATTTCGTAACAAGAAGAAAACTATATCTTCTATTGCCTTCCATATCCTGACCATAGCACCAGTTTAATTCGTGGACTTCGCCAGATAAGTGAACTTAATAGAAGCATTCAATTGGAAGAGGCGAAATAGTGTTTCAAAAAAGTTGCGGTAAGATTGTTATATTTTTGATTTAAATATATAAAATCTTGAAAGTTTACATATGTATGTTCATAAATATTTAGGCATTAAGCCTCCAAGATCTATTAGTCTAAATCGATTTATACGCGGGCAATCACATAACATATGTTCTGAGGTTTCTCCTCCTACCCAAAAAAAAACCTGCATTTCGTCTCCTCAGAGAGCCCAATTTTGTGTAGATGGTACCTCAGTTTGCAGAGCCCTGTCAGGTATCCGGCGAGAGTTTTGCTAAGAGTAAGCAGCTGCTCAGAGATTCCACGAGTGGGAGTTATGAATCTGTTGGACTGCCTTTTGCCCTTTTCTCAGACTTTTCTTTGCCTTCGAAGCCCTCATGGCTCTGAACCTACCGCAAAGTTACTCTGTTGTTGGTTCCTAGTTTTTCCGAGTACTTTTTTTGCAAAGGTATACTACTGTAAGCTGTCTGGCTTTCCGACATGATGTTTATTGTTGCCACAATTGCGAAAATTTGCGCCTGGAACGCTTTTTTTGAAATCTAGGTCCACACACTCCGGCCCCAGTATGCCACCCTCAAGTTTGGAACCATCAGTGTATAAATTAAGTTCTCCCGTATCGTTTTACAAGTATCCCTTTCAGGTATTATTCCTTGTACCTCCAGCACGCAAAGGGATCCCAAGAACGCTAAATTGCTTAGATTCATAATTCCTGGATTCAAAATGAAAACACAATGAGACTACAATAGCTTCAAAATTTATTCTCAACAAAAACGCAGATTAGGAAATTAATTCTGTTAAATTTCCCAATGAGGGTATGAAAAAATCGGGTACATAATAGCGTTGGTTTTCACCGGGGGTTTGCAGCACCTCATCCAGTTCATACTCACTGTTATGGCCAGTTCCAACTAATAAAGTCTGGAAACCGCAATTGTGGCCAAATAAAATGTCAACCTTGCAGCTGAAAAACCCAACAAGCATCATATAAATTTAGTATTCTTTACTAAAACTGCACGGCACAAGGCCTTCCCCCGTTAACATTGATTAAATTCATATTTCACTCACACATCTCCAATCATGAGCGTCCGCTCGGCCACCAATCTGCCTGACTTAATCAACTCCTCGCAAATCCCCGGATTAGGTTTACCAAACTGCAGCGCCTTACGTCCCACCGTCGTTTCCAAGGCACTCAAAAGCGCACCCGTACCAGGTATACGAAATTCTGGATAACGATGTACCGCATCGGTGTTGGTAGTCATGAATAGACATGCTGCATTTGAGCCCAGAAAATTGGAGGCCTTCAACATTTTGGGAAATGTGATGTGCTCATCGAAACCCACAATGACAGCGCCAACCTCATCAGTCGATTGTGCGGCCACTTGCTGGGCGATGTAGTCACTTAATTTACCTTGTAGGATATCCGGACCGGGACCAAAACTTTCTATGCCCGCTTCTGTTAGCTCCTGCCTTATAGCTTCAGCGCCGATGATGTAAACTTTTTTGCGAAAATTTCGCGCTTGCAGATACTCTACAATAGCATGAATAGGCGCAATAATGCGAGTTTCGGGTATGTCGTAGCCGATCGAAGTCGCTGTCTGCCATATATCACGGCGGGTCTTAATACCGTTATTGGTGACAAAGTAGATTTGTTTGCCGCGCGCCTTCAGCAATGCGATAGCTTCGGGTACACCATCTATGGCGATGCCTTCGTGCCAAAGCACACCTGAATTGGGAGTAAAAAGAAATTTAGAATTTACAAATGTAACCCAGCAGGTTGGCTTGCTGGCGTTTATGCTAAGTAAGTAAGTAGCGTCAAAGAGACTTTCTTGTCAGTGCGTCACCTCTTCGCTTTTGCGCTTTTGGATTCTCTTAGTTATATATGAGACACACTCGCTCAGCACTTTCACTATCTGGCAGACTTTTTGTTAGCGCTTGCGAAAAGTAAATACAAACTCATAAAATACTTCACCAACGCTCACCATCGCAATCCGTGAGTATTGTGTCGAAGCTGTTAAGCCACTTTTCGGTATCGGTTTTTGTTAGCTCCAGCAAATTTTTCGGGTTGTTCTTGAACATTTCTTGTCTGTGGTACTTTGAAATTATTTTTTTTATAAATAAAAATTTTGTTTGTTCGTATTTCCTATCTTTTTGGCCACACGAACTTTTCACTGAGCAGCAACGCGGAGTTTTGTGCTTGAAATGACCGTAAAGAACAACGTATCAATAATTTAATAAATCATTTACTAAATTGCAGAATCAACAATAAAATGTATGTAGATAACTGCTGTGAGAGAGTGGAAGAATGAGCGAATTTTAATGTACTTAGTAGTTATGCAAAAGTTTTTATTAAAGCAGGGGGATCGGGTAGAGGGCTCTGGAGTAACAGCTGATCAGTATAAAGTAGAGGAGACAGCATATATACATACATACATTCATGTGCATATAGTTGTATGTAGAAAGCCATAAAATTATATGTATGTACATAAATAACAGCACACACCTACCCAGCAAAAAAAAAATGTGTCCACTTTTAACGCGGCTATGACTAGGGCTCACTTGGACATTAATTAAATTTTCTTGAACGCTAACTACAGATAATCTGTGTTAGATTAAGAGGAGCGGTTGGTGCTTAAAACAAAGTTCCGCGGGCAGCTGATGTCCACTCCGAATGCCGAATATCGGGCCTCTTCCTACAAGCAGCTGCAGCAGTAGGAATCCGTGACGATATTAACAGGGCAATTCTAGCAGCTGCCTTTCAACTCATCACAGTCTTTCGCAAGACAGAAGTCTTTCGTGAGGCAATTGTCAATTCGGCCAACTATCTTGAAAGCTCTTTACTGTCTTTCGAAAAACTTATTGAAAGATCTGCTAACGAGGAGGCCTTAGTGTTATGCTGTTCGCTTTCATTCATTTTTTGTTCTTATTAAATTAAATAAAAAATGTATATATATATATTTTCCTTAAAAAAAAAGTGACAACTAATAAATAAAAGAAAAAAATATAAAATAAATTAAAATAAAGCGAAAATAAATATACATATTTTTAAAAATTAAATTTAAAAAAATACTTATTTCATATTAAAACAATAAAATCTAAAATTTAATTTAGATGAAGAAAAAATTCAATCAAAAAAGAAAAAAATAATACTTAAAGATTAAAAAAAATTACAAAATCTAAAAACTAAAAGAAATTTTAATTGGAAAATAGACAAAAGAAATAAAAATAAAAAGATAAGATCCTAAAAATTTAATGGGATTAAAAAATATTTTTTTTTTTTCAAATTTTTTGGATTCACAAGGACGAGTAGGTAATTTTTAAGCTGATAAAGTTAGGAGTACGAAATTCGAAACAAATATTGCGAAATTTCAAGGATAAAATTTTAAAAGGCCATTTTCAATATTTACCAGTCCTTATGCACCAAAAAATTTAATCTGATTGGATTCCACCGAAATTCCTCCTTAATTTGATGCATATACTTCTTCTCAAAGCACGTTTCACTGAAATGTTTAAATCATTTTTGAATTACTGTCGTCAAAGTGAAAAACTAAAAACACAATTTTACAATATTTGGCCCATAGTTTCTCGAATATTAATTTTTGTGTGTAAAATTTACTATCCCACGGTGTTATATGTATAACGAGCTAGACATTTATAAAAAAAAAAATGTTATTAAATAAAAAAATAAATGGCCAATACTGGTCAAGAAACGTAGTTTCTATTATTGCCATTAGTGCAAGTTACAAATCCCGAAAATCCAGGGATTATTTGCCAAGAATCTCGGGATTTTCGGGACTTAAAAATGCCGGAATCTCGGGATTTTGGGGATCCCGGAACTAACTATCCTAATATTTACCCTTCTAGTCTTCAAACCACTGGTGCGTAGGAAATCGACTGACTCTTTTATAGCTACCATCTTTGCCTCAAAGACGCTGCAGATATCCAACAGCCTGAAAATGAGATTTATTGAGAGTTCCTGACAGAAAAATACCTTCTCTAACTCGGCCTTTCAGCTTCGATCCATCCGTGAAGAAATTTATTGGACCTCAACTCCAGGGGCAGCCGACGGATCTGTTTGGGCCAGCTTCGGAGCGCTCCTAGCCATCAGCTTCCCGTAAGAAGTCGAAGCTTTAAAGAATTTTCGAGTGCTCGTACGCCGGGTTGAATGAGAAGCCAGATATTTTTAGCTTAATGGCAAGACGAACTTCGCTGACTTTGTCCGCTATGTCAACAGGTGCGATAGTGGGCATAGCGTTAAGCGCTAGAGTAGGCTTCCTAACAAGAGTAGACTTTTTAGTGAATTCCATCAGATAATGATATGAAAAAAACCGTAAAAGCCGTCAGTAAAAAAATAAAAAATTGAATATCAATGCGATTTTTTAGCCGCTCACTTGTTAACTGCCTACCCAAAAAATGTCTAAAAATTCATGTTAAAAAAAAATGTTTGTGGAATTTTTCTAAGTTCTGTATAAAGTTTGAAAGTGCGATTTATATAGTTTTTGTTAAAGCATGAGCCAAGGTACATTGAACAGGTAGTATCAGTAGAGCAGCTGATTTGATTTATTTTCAAATTATTTGGTCTCGAAAATGTCAAATATTTTTAATTTTTTCTCACAAAAATTCTGAATTGTTAAAATCCATTTGCATGTGAAACCTTTTTCCATACAAAACAAGCGATTGAATAGCAGCTTTTGGAACGTTCGCCCAACTCAGCAGCACGACCGCTGATTACTGGGCCTTGCAAAGGATGGATCAATGCTTCGAGAAGCAAACAAATTTACTAGGAAAGAAAGTTGCATCAATTTTAATTTTTTCCAATTTCAATTTTTTATTTTTTATAATTTTTTGTATTTCACATGGCACGCTTTGATTTAGAAAAAAAAATTCAGAACAGTTTTTGACACTTTCGATACCAGAAGCAACAACAAAATACACGCAAATGTTGTTTTTGCTCTACTGATACTACCTGTTTAATGTGCCTTGGCATGAGCCATATCTTTATAAAACAAATATCAAAAAAATTTTAGCTTGAAAAATATTGTAAATACCATTCATCCATTTTTGACCGCCACTGTAAATACATATGTACGGCCGCCGTAGCCGTGGTGGTTAGAAGTGCATACTACTATAAAGTATTGTAATGATATGTATGCATAGGCGATATACTGCTTTTAATACATATTTAAGTTTGTACATAAATAAGTGAATAGATGCTTGAATGGTTATTATTTGTTTTGTAATGTTATTTTAAAAGTTTATCAAAAACATTTGCTCTTGAATTAATTTATATTCAGGCAATTTTTTTTTAGGAATCGGCATCGGGCAAAAATTGGGAATCGGTCGGACTCTAGCGCGAAGTGTCTTTCTGAATCCTCTGTATTAGCTTCACACTAAGCTTTAGCACCTGAGCTTCACTAAGAGCTAAAGCATTATTTTAATAGTCAGTCGGAAAACACTGTTTATTATCATATACATATGTACATATGTACATATTTATGAATCGCGTCATTGATAGTTTTGACTACAATTTCGTGTGTACTTTTATTTTTTGCGGTGAATTTTGTAAAATTTTCCATTTATAAAATATGTTAGAACAAACTGATTGCTCCTGACTAAATGAGATAACGAGCTCCTAAAATGCCAACAATTTTTATAATTCGAACTTGCAAATAATTTCAAAGCTGCTCCATAGGGGAGCATATGTATGTATGTACATACATACACAGTAATACATACATACATATATAGTAGAGCCCTTTTGTAGTTTGGATTCGTTTATTTCGTTATCTATTAAGGTTATCTGTTAAAACACCTTAAACATGTGTACTTATTTTTTTTAATAACTACTGCAATGTTGATGTAAGTAAACACCTGAATAATGTGCCTAATGAATCGAAATCGATGTACACATCAATATAGTCGGCAGACTAAAAGGGCATGACATATAAATTGTAGATGTAACTACATTAATTTGTGTAGCATTTATTTATGTATATAGTATATGCAGAAATATATAATTTAATTTTAGAATAACAAATGATAACACTGCAGCAACGCTTAAATGGCACTAAAAGACCCCGATACAAGAAAACTTAATTTTGGGTCGTAGATTACAGATTGTTTTTCTAGATCAGCTTATTTTCCCGAAGATGTTTTAATTTTAAGCTTCAAATGTGAATGAAAAAAATCAATCTTTAACAACAACAATTTAAAAATAACACACTCATAGATGGCGTATGAGTAACATTTTTTCCTGCTCATATTTCATAAAAAAAAAAAAATTATTACGCATTTTCATTCGACCATTCACAATTTTTTTATTTATCCATCGATTTTCTTCGTTAGCATTTTGATTTTTTATTTTTTGTAGACAAACAGGCCTAAATAAAAATTAAACCAATTTAACGAGATAGCACAATTAAACAAAAAAAATTCAAATATCTCGAGAAAATGATCTGATCCAGAAAAACAGAATACAGATTCGTAATCTACGACTCAATTTTAAGTTTACGTGCTTTGGCGTTTTTTGTGTCATTTGAAAACTTAAGTTTTTCCCTACGATGTAATTAGCTGCATATGCATGTCGAATAATTATTTTTGTTGGCTATCTTTTACTTAATGAAATTAAAAACCACTTATCTCTTTTTAATTAATAAAAATGTATTAAAAGCTCATTTTGATAAGAATTTCAAATATTTTTTTTAACATAATTGTGTATGTAAAAATCTATTATACATTTTTCACTGAAACCAGCAGCTACAAAATTATAAAATATTTCCCGAATATTCTTAATAATCACTTAGCTTAGTCTGTTATGCATTTTGAATTTTAAGTGTTTATATAAGCGTGTTTTAATCCTTATGAATAGGCATTTTAATCAACTAAAGTTATATTTCGCTTAAATTCTAAAAAAAAAAATCATCGCTCTTCTACTTGATAAATGTCAACAAGTCACTTAATCTCGGCAAGAAGACATCGGGTATGAGTTTCTTGTGTTCAGGATCAGAGGATTTCTTCCACAACTCAACATCATTCATTTGATTTACGCCCGTCCCGACGAGCATAGTTTGGAAACCACAATTAAAGCCCAACAAAATGTCACTGCTGCAACTAACATACAAAAAAGACGAGAAGAATACAATTTTTTCCACCAACCAAAAGTCTTTTCCTATGCAACACTTACCAATCGCCCACAATGAGCGTACGTCTCGGTTCTATGATCCTATTCTCAATCAAATGCTCACAAATTCGACGATTCGGTTTGCCTATCACTACAGGCTCTCGTCCTGTACACGTTTGCACAGTACGCACAATGCTACCCGCATCGGGTATAACCATGCCAGGCATGGGAAAACGTTCATCTGTATTTGTAGCAATGAACAAGCATTTTGGATCATCCAAATAAACTGCTGCCTTAATCATTTTACAGAAACTGAAATGTACATCGAAGCCCACAACCACCGCACCAATATCGGAATCTTTACAAAAGCCACCTTTTATATACTCGCTTAACCTGCTTGACATTACATCGGGTCCGACGCCAGTATGTTTTATGCCCACAGCATCAAGTTCGGAGGCAATACCTGCAGTGCCTATCACATAGACTTTTCGCTGGAAATTGTGTGCCTTTAAATAGGATGCGGCCGAATTCGACGAGGAGATTATTTGCTCGGCAGGAATATCGAAACCCATAGAGTGTGCTTTCTCGTATAGCTGTTGGCGCGTTTTCGTTGAATTGTTAGTGCAGAGGAAAATCTTCTTCCTCGACTGTTTTAGGTAGCGCATAGTGTCCACAGCGCCTTCGATGACAGTATCGCCGAGCCAAATAACACCTGTAGGGAGGGAGAGAGAACATGAGGTGTTAGTAGCTAGATGGACAATTATTTAAACGGATTAAGAAACTAGTACGTATTCAATAATATCCTTACCATCACAATCACTGATGATCGTATCAAAGCTGTTCAACCATTGCAGGACAGTTTCCTTTGGTTGCTCCAGCAGATTTGCACAAATTCCTTTGTACATATTTTCGATCGGATGGCGCGTGCTTTTGTCACTGATGCACTTATATAAATAATAGCGTTTGCCGCCATCTACATGCTTCTCGTTTACTGCATTTCTAATTGCTAGCGCTGCATCTGACATTGTCGCCGCGTTGTAGGTCTGAAACTATTCTGAACATGCAAACTTTAATGGGAGGTAATATATAGAGTGTAAACAGTCTGGTTTTGCGATGCCCTTTGCACACTATTTGAACTGATTTGCGATAAGGCCGAATTGCTTACCAGGAAATAACCCCTTTATAACTATTTGTTATTTTGCATTTTTTTACAATAGTTTTTGTAATTTATTTTTGTTATTTATTTAATTTTTCCTTTTTTTGTAGTAGATCTTCCATAACACTATTTGTACAAAAGAACATTGTATTGTAGGACAGCAATGCAAAACATTAATTTACAAATATAAATTATTAGAATACGCTGATATATGTACGTACAAATGTACATATTAAAGTTTATAAGCATGTAAATGTACAATAGTTAAAATATATTTTTTTTTATATAAAGATTGAACTAATTTCGATACCAAACTAATAGCAAAGTATAAGTATTAGTAGCAAATTTGTGTGCCGCAGCTTTAGATCCTATTTCTGTCGTTCCTGCACTACCTGCGTATAACTAACACTACATAAATGACAGCAAATCACCCAATTTGGGCAGAAACACATCGGGTATGAGTTTCTTTTGTTCAGGATCATCTGAATTCTTCCACGCCTCAACATCGTTCAACTTATGTATGCCCGTGCCGACTAGCAGCGTTTGGAAACCACAATTGAAGCCAAGCAAGATGTCAGTGTTGCAGCTAAAATAAGAAAACAGTTAAACAATTTGCTACTAATAACCCTATCACCATAGGGGCACTTACCGATCACCAATCATTAACGTGCGGGCCGGATCGATTGTACCTTCATTTATCAACCATTCGCAAATACTGGGATTGGGTTTTCCAATCACGAAGGGTTCACGCTCTGCACATGTCTGCACCGCGCGCACAAAACTACCCGAACCGGGTATCACCATGCCAGGCATAGGAAAACGTTCATCTGTATTTGTCGCAATAAACAAGCATTCTGGATTGTCCAGATATGAAGCGGCTTTGATCATTTTACAGAAACTAAAATGCTCATCGAAGCCCACAACCACGGCGCCAATTTCGGCATCTTTACAAAAGCTTGACGCTAGATATTCGGCTAGTGTGCCGTTCATTACATCGGGTCCTATGTCGCTATGCTTGATGCCAACGGCGTCTAGTTCGCCTGTTATGCCGCCAGCTCCTATCACATACACTTTCTTTTGAAAATTACGCGCTTTTAAGTAAGCAGCAGTTGAATGTGCTGAGGAGATCATTCCTTCGGCGGTAATATCGAAACCCATGCTATGCGATTTCTCCAGCAATTGCTGCCGGGTTTTCGTTGAATTATTGGTGCAAAAGAATATCTTCTTGCCAATGGTTTTGAAGCGATTCATTGTGTCGACAGCGCCTTCAATGACATTGCTATATACCCAGAGGACACCTAGAAGTGGAATGTGTTGAAAAATTAATAAAATCGAGAAGGAATAGATAAGGACAGGAACGCCAGAAAAATTTTACAAAATGTTTCAAATTCGCGGATTTTGTATGGGTACAAAAAGGGAAATTTAGGCACACAAAATTGGCTCAATCCGTTTTCTTTTTGCCTTCGATAAAAGAGTTTTTTGAAGAGTGTCTTTCAATTCTGTACGAGTTTTATCATGAGTAAGCATTTCAAATTTATTATAATTATTATCTACATACATAAGTACATACACATGCATGTTNAGAGTTTTTTGAAGAGTGTTTTTCAATTCTGTACGAGTTTTATCATGAGTAAGCATTTCCAATTTATTATAATTATTATCTACATACATAAGTACATACACATGCATGTTTATTTGCGGTCGTGACATTGTCATTGCCCTAGAGTAGACACCTTGACCATTTGTTCGCACGCCACATATTACACTCATTTAGTTATTTTTCCATTGTATTTTGTTGTTCTTCTTGCTTTGAATAAACCTCGCAAGCATAGGCACGTACAAACTGATTGTACGTCATCGAATCGCGGGCGAAATTTCCCCACCAAACACACAACAATGTCGTGAAAAGTATGGAAAGCCGCCACCGTCAAGAATTACGCAATGTTACCTCATTATTTGTGAGAATCCGAATAAAACTCATAAGAGCCACAAAAATACTACATACAAAAATTTCCGACACATTGATAATGAAAAATAAAAGTGACCTTTAAGGTCAAAACATTTGCACTATTCTCTACAGTCTTATACTTCCTAAGCGTCGCCTGCACTTACCATCGCAATCGGTGATGACAGCGTCGAAGCCATCCAACCATTCTTTGACCTTCTCCGGCGGTAGCTCCAGCAGATTCGTACAGGTTTGCTTGTACATGTTTTTAGTGTGTCGTCTAAAGGTGCTACTAATCACTTGGTTACCCGTGTTGTCGGTATAATTGGCACCCTTCCAAATATGGAATTATCAAATGAAATCCTGACGCTTTTGTGCTCTACACTAACAGTTCACTAATATCACGAATAAGCCTCCTTACTAGCCGTTTTGCTGACTGCTAATACTACCACCGTCTGCTGCTGCCGCCAATTTCAACACTTCAACCAACGCTGCCGCAAACCGTTTCTATAGGAAAAAGTTTTTGCATTACTTTTTTATTAAAACAAAAAAACACACATAAAAAATCTCGTTTTATTTTGCTCATTTGCCCTTCACGATCATGTTCGCGAAAGCAGAGCGTACCAATAGCAACTGTCAGAGAACACAGCGGCAAAGGCGGAGCGGCGCGTTTCATATTCCAAATTTTCAATGAGTCAACCAACCAGTCCGGGGCTAATCAGCCGCTGTTGCCGCTCTCACGCGTGCTCCATACGACGCTACGATACAAACGTGCGTATTGGGTATGTGTCTACATAGGTGTGAAGACAATGGCCCTCCCGTTTGTCTGGTGTACCAACACGTGCCACGGCACTTTGCGACTCTTTTATTGATTTTCAACAACTGTGCCACGCCGCCGGTGATGCTATCTATAACTCTAAAGCCTAAGCTGGGCAATACTTGGCGTTAACTTTTATTCTCCGTTATATTACCATTAGAATTTTCCACTTGAATCTAATACAATTTTATTAATGAACTTACGCTTTTCAGCTTTGACGCACCTTGCACTTGGTTATCGCTTATCGCTTCCTTCAATTTACCACGGCTGTCTGTATATCGACACTCCTGTCGACGTTTTCGTTTCCAGATTTTCCGCTTGCTTTTCCACTCTTTATAGAAATTTTCTGTACATGCGCGCTTCAATTCTCCACTCACAACATATGCATTTTTTATTTTTATTGCTTTGTTATTATTTTATGAATGCACAATGGCAAAATGCAATAAATTGACGGCTTTTTGTTGGTATTTTTTATTATTACTTATCCACCGTTCTTCTCGTATTCCAAACAGCTGATTTTTGTTG